CTGGCGGCTGAAGAGCTGTTGAGAAACCCGTGCTGTCCCTTTTCAGTTGGAAGTTTGGAAAGTGACATTATTCAAACCTGGCCCCCACTCACCTAATTAAATGCCTGTTGTCAAAGCTCACTAACTGGTGAAAGACTCCCCCACCCATTTCTTTGGTGTCACATTTTGTTGGTAATATACCTCACAAGTTCCATGGGATATTTGACTACATTAAACGTGTGATAGGAATAGTCGACTTGCTGTTGATATAAATCAAAATCACTTAAGAGCTCAGCCATATCATCTTAATGAATAACGGTGCAGTCTGTGAGGATTAAATGACTTCCTTTTGGTCAATGATCCTTTACTGTTATTGATTGTGAGAAAAACAAACATCTGGTTCACTAACGTCCTTTAAGGGTCAGAAGTCACATGACGCCAGGTGACTTCATCTAGCGAAGGAGCAGTGCTCCGAAAGTTTGTGATTTTAAATAAACCTGTTGGAATATAACCTGGTGTCATATGACTTTTGCTTTGTCCACCCCAGTCCAATACTGGCATTTCCACATAATGTCCTTTCGGAAAGGAGATCTACCATAGTTACCTGGTCTGGCCTACCTTTAATTCCAGACTTACAGCAATGTGGTTGACTCTTAACTCTGGGCATTAAGGATGGACAATAAATGCTGGATGAGCAGCGATACCCACATACCATGAATGAATAAAAGAATTCATAATGTAGGCTCAATTTGCAGTCACTGGTCTTCAGTATAAAAAACTGATAAAACAACACAGATCACAAAAAAGGACAGCCTAGCAGGGATTATTTATACCCTTTCCCCGCTGTCATCAACAACCTCTGTGATTGCCCTGTGCCAAGAGAGTGCATTATTAGGTGTCAGTCACTATTTGTAAAATCACCACTCAAAATGTAAAAACAGGGCTCATGACAAATGCTACTATTTTAAACTGGAAAGGGAAGGCAAAGGGTTAGGCAAAGCTGCACATTTCACAGAAAAGGAGCGAGGATGAGGTAGAATGATCAGGTGTCATCAAACTTGGTTTTAAAATCTTACAGATTAAGGAAGAGAGAGTGAGAGAGAAGATGGAGACAAGGAAATAAACAATAAACAAGGATTTAGTTGAATTCTTTAAGCAGAAGTGTGAGGTCTGATTTGATCTAAGATTCAATTATACTATTTGTCTTACTATCCGGTCTCCTCCTTAGATATCTGTCTTAATCTCGCTCATTAATTTAAATCTGTGTTAACATTTTTCAGGCTGCTAGTGGTCTCTTTGTTAGAAGATACATTATTGAAGAAAACGCATTCAGTTAAAATTGCAGGTCAAGTGTTTTGTGAAAAGAATATAGTACAAGTTACATAATGAGTTAGAGTAGGATTCCCTGAAGAACGGGAGGGATAATTGTATTTTTGGAAAGGTCACTGCATTCTCAAAGAGCAAAGCGTTTTGCCAAGCCAGAACCGATGTCTAATCATTATAAATCGCCTTTTTCCAGATTTAAAAATAAGTAGATATATTGTACAGTCTCCCCAATTGGGTGTTTTAACCCTTACTTCTTGTCAAGGTAATAAAGCAATGAATTATGATCTTTCAGTATATATTTTATGAAAGGATTGCCCACAAATTCATCAGGCAAAATGCAAAATAAGTATATATTGAATTAAAATGAGTGAGCCAGATGTGAAAGGTACCTTGACGTAATTCAATACTAACAATCATCCTAAATTTCTCTTTGGGGACTGCAGCAAAAAGCGATATTAACCCTTTTCACAGCCAGAAATGTAAAGAATTCTCATTATTTTCAATTGGTACAAGTCCCATGGGACAAATTTTATGAATGGCCTTATTGGGTCACATTGATTAAAACTGTTGTCATTACCTCAATGATAATTTGGGTCATTGCAATGTTTATTCAGCTGTTTAAGGAAAAAAGCATTAGAAAATCATTGGAATAAGGAGGTTTCCTGTCCCACTGTGATTAAGTATCAATTATTTATCAGGAATATTTAGGTGATGCTGATTCCCATTGCGTTCTGTGGCAGATTTCTTTTCCATCTTGATACCGCAATTAAAGTATAAAAGTCAAATCAGTGTTACGTTCCGGCAATATTATCGTGATGAACTCTGATAAGAAGCCAAAAAACAGCCCCCTTCTTTATTCTGCAGCTGCCGTATAGGATCCAGTGAAGAATTTGCCTGTGAAAATGGGGGTGGGGATTAAATAAAGCAGGCGCCATGTGTTAAGAGAGCTGTTTCACAACTGAAATAACTGCAGTAACTCACGGCTAGTGCTGTGATATTGTGTTTACTCTAAACCAGGGAAAATTTTAAATAACAAGGCTGCGATGGCCAGTGGTTTAAATGTATTGAACGAGACTGTTTATTGAGTTGGTGGGTGATGAATAGGGCTTTGCATGAGAGGGCAACCATCATCTCTCGCCTGGGTCCTGGGCTCTCACCAAACACAAGTCACTATTGTCGGTACCGCATTGGGCTTATAGGTGAAAGGTTGTTGGCTTGGATCTTACCAGGGCCTGCTCTGAATTCGATCCTTTGGAGAATATTGAAGTGAACAGTGCTAATGTGGGTGGAAAGCAGGGTGTCCAACACAAACATTGTTTGTAAGACAACAGAAAGTGTCTGGTATCATTTCAGGATTAAAAGAGGCCTAGAAATGGGGATGAACACTCCTACAAAACAGATCAACCTCCTAGGGCTCCATTACTCCCTTTATCTTTCAATTGCATCTCAACAAAAATAATGTCCTAATTTGACATATTTATCTAACTCAATGGGCAGTTGTCCCAATATTTCCTTCTGTAGCTCACTTATTTGATAGTCATTCCTCTGAAACGTTGTGGGACATTTTGATATGCTATATAAATGCATATTGTTGTTCTTATAAGTGTGAACAGTAGTATTTTATTGTCATTGAGGTGAACTAGAACTCAGCTAAATACAAGTGACACACCTACAAGACACAAAGTACGCATTTGGGAAGAAATATGCTTTCAGATAATGTTAGAGTTAATGCTTTCCTAATAGGCACAGCATAATTCAATTTACTCTGTGAGTAGTTGGATGGTTTGCTAAAAGTCTTTGTGCAAGGTTATGAGCAAAATCTAGAGGCATTTTATTCTGGATATTTTTAAAATTCTGCAATATAATGCCAACTTTCATATCTGCAAAATATTTCAGATAGATTCATCACCAATAGTGAATTTTGACCTGGACCCACTTTGATTATATGGGCTAAGGACCGAGTCAATTTGTACACAGAACAATCTGATAATCAACATAAGAATTCAATGTTTTTTTGGGATGTATATATTGGCCAGGACACTCAGAGAACTCACAGCACTTCTTCAAACAATGTCATCCATCTGACCAGATGGAAAGGGTTCATTTAACATCTCATCAAAGAATCTCACCTCTGACAACACAACACACTTTGCGGGGAAAACAAAAAACGCTGGAGATCACAGTCGGTCAGGGAGAATCCATGGAGAGAAAGCAAGCTAGATACTTCTTCATCAGAGCCCTGTTGAAGAGTCATCTAGACTTGAAACGTTAGCTTGCTTTCGCTCCATGGATGCTCCCTGACCCACTGTGATCTCCAGCGTTTTTTGTTTTCTGTACAGATTCCAGCATCTGCAGTAATTTGCTCCCTTTATGGACTAGACTGACATCTCAGTTTAGATTAGATAGAAATAGAAATTGAAACTATCAAATTCTCTTAACATTTTAAACACTTCAATCATGTCATTTTATAAAAATCTATACTAAGGGAACGTAGATCAAGCAGTTCTCACAATTTAACCTCCAAACAATGTGCATTTATATAGCACCTAAAACGTGGGCAAACATCCTGAGGTGAATCACATGAACATATTCAGACAGAAACAGACAGTGATTTAGATAAATCACATTTCAAGGCAATCTCCACTGTCTCTGGGGAACATTTCCATTTCACCAGCCCCCTGGTTCCTGTTGACAGTGATTTATGTTTGATGGCGTTGCATAATTTGATTTGTTTTGCTGAGTCTTCTGTGCCGAACCAGAGGGAGGATGTTTTATCTTAAGTATCCGGGTTGAGTTTGTTAACCTATTTGATCGCCTGGACCCCAGGACTGGGAAGTGGTCCAGCTTAATCAGTTGGGGTAAACTCCTCTGCCAGTCGAAGGAAAACATTTAAAAAAGAAAGATTTTTCAAAACAATGACGCAAATAAAATTTTGATTAATAACTGAAATGAGCAGTTATACTGATATAATAGAAGCAATCAGTTAATCTTCATTAGACCAGACAGTTATAGCTTGTGATATATACACTATTATCAGCCTGCATCATTATGCTGCATGCAGATCTTCGGTTATTTACTCGCCAGTTGAATGGATTAAAAGGGAATCTATGAATTAACTTTTCTTTTTAAATGTTTGCAAAACTGAAGAAAAACCTATGGCTGCTGGAAGGGAAAGTTTATTTCATTCGTCTGGGCTGCTTTTTCCGACTGTAGAATCTGATCTCTTCCTTCATGCACTGAAGGCTGAGAGATAACAACTCCAATAGCAGCAGAACTGTGATATCTGTCCTTTATAGTAATTTTGCTATCAGTTCTGCAGTACACACCAGTGCTGAGTCCTGAGTAGGCCTGATAGAGTGCAATACCTGAATTCCTCATTGTCTGGGGACATAACAAATGGATTTATAGAGCTTATCCAGAGCCTGAAGACGCAGATTAGATGTGAAACTATTGCTCTTCTTCACTCGAAGACTGATGCTCGAAATGCATAGATGGTCAAGGTTCTTTTGTGGATGAGTGCAGTTAAAAAGGGGACCAAGCTAGCAGCTTATCACAGGACGTTGTCCAGTCTTACATTTCTTCAGCCTTATTTGACTGGAGCTGAATCTATTCCAGTTATTGGGAAAGAAGTGCAAATGTAATCACCTTGCCAGTTTTTGATAAACTACCATCCTGGGTATTTCCTCTTCATCCAATAAAAAGTTAGGATGGGGGTGGATTCTTTCCAACTGCAGAGCTACATTTAGCCGGAAATAATTTGAATTTGGGATCTCTGAATCTGTGGTGACTGTGCTGTGCAAACCTCTCCAAACCACCCAACATGAATGTGAAAAGTTCCATATTAATTGCTCTTCTGGTTGGGGTAACCTGCATCAACTGGTCTTGGGGTAAGTGACTATAACTTAGTTAATTGTTGACATGTATGTTACAGTAAGAAACTAACTTTCAGCTTTTCGTAACACATTACTGCTCAGCATTATCTGGAGAATGGATCAAAACAAAATGTGCTTTGTAAAAAGAAGCAGTTAATGAGAAACAAATGGATGACTTTGAAATGATACCAAAACAAAAAAAAAGCTGAGAAGTGAAGCTACTTGTTGTAAAATTCTTTTCTGCATTTCTTGCATTTTCTAGTGGGGGTGCACAGGTTTACTTCAGCTTGCAACTACCAGGAATGAAGGCATTTTCCAAACAACTGACAACTCTGCTATGGGTCTGACATTTCTTTTTAGCCTTTCTTGGAGTTAATAACCTGCAGAAAAGGGGGTACAGCTCCATTTCACATCCACATGTAGATGATGCTTGATACTTGTTTAAACTTTAATGTTCTTGAATTCACTGCAATCTCTGAATGACATTAAATTATCATCAAACAAAGATGATTTAGTTCTTATTATATTTTGGACTTTTAAATAGAATTGTTCCCTTTTTTAATCTATGCTTTAATAATTATCTGCTATTGGAATTTCATTATCTCTCACTGGGATTATCCGTCCATTTGTGGTGCTACAGTGTTTTTTTTTAATAATGAAACAATTTATGATTGTAGAAGTGAAGATCATCTTCCAGCTGAATCATCTTCAGAACAGTTTGTTGCAGAAGTGTATTTTAATTACATTTCTCTGCCATTATGATAATGCCATGGACACAGGGATTGTCTAACCATTGCCAGTAACGAGAGAGATCAATTTGGGTGGCAATGAAGCATATCTTTTGCATACTGCCTCCGCACTGCCACTTTTTAGGCTAATCTATTTATTGGATCATTATCCTTAGAAGTGCCAGAGAGGTCGCACTTATTTAAGATGGTTTTCTGTCTTTAAAAGGAAGAGATCTGCTCATCTTCATTTGAAACTGACATGAAGATTTCGACACGCTGAGGAACAATTCAACACTTATCAAAAATTCTTAGACATGATTTGTTAATCCTTTTTTTGAAATGTCATGCAGTTTTAAAATATGCAAAGCAGGGCAAATTTGGAATAATAACAAAATGAAACAATTCACATTGTGCAAACTCTTTTGTCCAAAAATGGGTAAGAATTTTATCATCAGAGGAATCCAGGGAATGCCTAGGGAGACGCAGATTAGCTAATGACTGTTTAATCATGCATTCAGTAACAAATGAAAGAGAACAAACAAAATTCCCACGTGGTGATAGCGTCCCATTAACGATAGATGGACAATTTCATGAGTCCACCCAAGTTGTTGAGCCCAAGTTTACAACTTGTATTGACAACAAGCAAAGCACAGGCTCATAAAATGATCCCTGAGAGGTAAGCAAAAACCCGTAAACAGCTACATCAGCTTAAAGATTGTACATGTAGCGAATAATTGAGTTGAAAGAGATTAAAGTCATTTCACATCAAGTTTCTTTTTAATGTGTCAATTCATTATGTGCAACTTAATGTCCTCATAAATTTTAGAGGCAGCTTCTAAAATTGATTCTGGCAAGCCCCCTTGCAGCTACTGAGAGATTATCCCCCTCGTGTGAAATGTATCATTGTCACTTGACACGGTAGTCATTCTTGTCGGTTGCAGTTTTGAGACAGTTTCAAGTCTCTGACTAAACAGAGTGATGGATGTGACTGGCTGCCTGGATTTTCAAAATTGTGCCCAAATGAGCCCGAGATCTCGTGATATCTGAGTCTGTCTCCCTGCCTGCTCTGTGCGCTGTGAACATTGACTGTTGTATTGTTTACTATTCTCCTCATCTGTCTCCTTAAGGAGAAATATGAGCCCAAGACTCTCCCTCTTCCTCCCTCCCTCCCTCCCTCTCTCTCTGTCTATGACTGTAACTGTTCTTCCCTCCACCTTGGAAGTCCAAAGTATCGAATAGACTGACTCCTCCTGAGCATATCCAAGTACTGAGGCAGTTAACTCATTGTTCAGTAGTTTGAACTTGATGTGTGTTACAAGAAAATGGAATTTATTGGGAAGATACTCCTGGTTCTGACTTGAGTGCCAGGCATCCCCAGGGCTCAGTGAATATTTGGAAAACTGTCCCGTTTGGAGTTGGCATCTGTAAACCTGCTGGATTTTGCTGCTCATAAACTGGTGGAATTTAGTAGATTAAATTTACATGCATGGACTCCAAACTGCGAGATTTTCCCATATTCACAGACATCGGGTGATTGAGAATGCCTGGGCACAGAACCAGGAAAATGCCTCTTAGTTTTCCACTGGGATTCCTAGTTATTCCAATGTGGAATCTGCAGCATTGTCAAAACTGAGGATAGTGCTGTTCATACTTTTATGCGCCACACATAATATCGCTTTATTGTTGTTTAAGGTATAATACCAGGCAACCTCTGTTAGAAGTCTAGGATGAATTTTGAAAATGAATTAACTACCCATAACAGTTACCAAAGTCTTATGCAATTCTTCCTCAGAGTCTTCATGTTTACAATGCCACTTGCAATGGACAACATATTTGCAAAAATTATTTTTCACAGAATTGCAAAAAACCCAACATGCAACTACAAGAAGAAAAAAAAAAGCAAAACCCAGGAATTCCATGCAATGAAGAACAAAATTCAATTTCCTCAGTCACTCCAAATGTGTTGGAAGTCAAGAAATATTTCCGATAGGAGCAAAATGACTGCAGATGCTGGAATCTGTACTGAAAACAAAATATGCTGGAAATCACAGCAGGTCAGGCAGCATTCACAGAGAGAGAGCAAGCTAATGTTTTAAGCCTAGATGACTCTGATATATTTCTGATATGTGTCACACCTCAGAATTCTCCTTCTGTAATATTCAAGATAATACTTTCACACTTCTTCTGATCACTCTTCTATCCATTTAGTCCTGAAGGTGATGATCTACCTGTTGTGCAGCACTCCAGTACCTCATCAAAGTGCTATCTTTTCTGTAAAAAACTGCACAATGCAGGTCAACAAGCTATGTCATCATGGGCGGATATCAGTTGTGAGAGAAGCAGTGTAGAGACACATTCCCAACAATCCTCAAGGCCAATCACTTTTTCCCCTTCCACATTTCATTTACACTTACAGCCAATGGTACCATTGGCTCAGTATCATAATAAATGGTTAACTTATCATCTGACTTGTTACTACATCATTAAGGCTTTTTTAAAAAGGGAATATGAATAATGAGGCATTCTAACAACATGGTATTTTTGTCACAACATGGGAAAGACTATACTTTCAAATTGTACGATACAGTGCACTTCATTTGTCCCACTCCGCTTCATGCAGCACAATTTGTTTAGCTAACATCATCAACTTCTGAAATGGAGAGATTGAGAAGAAGGTCGTAGGAAAGGTTATAAACTTTTTTTGTACATTGTTAGAATGTGACAGAAATTCTCTTATATTTTAGATAAGTTAGATAGCTGACGTGATTGTGACAAATACAAAGAGCTGCTAATCTGTGGTCCTTCTTTTGTCTTGTATTATCAATTAGTTATAACAATTTAAGAAGGTTGGTAGCCAGCCTGTTATATAACGAAACAGATAATGAGACTCTCTGGATGTGCAGTAGTTTGATACACTTTGCAAGTCCCAAGCATCACCTACTGACTTGAAGTCCACATATAACATCAATATCTTTCACTAGAACTTGCTTTGAATTGCAGTCAAAACGAGGCACAGTATGAATCTGTGGATATTCTGCACACCTGTCTTCAGAGCACTAATGCTTCCACACATCAAACATCTGCATCTGTTTTACATCTTCCCAACAGGGCAAAGTCCAATTTAACTGAAAACATTTAAATAGCATTTTTACCAGAAGAAAGATTGTGTTGAATAGATTAACAGTGCCTCACATTGGCTCAGTTAGTGTGACTGAGCGCTCAGGGTCTCAGGTTCAATCTGTGCTGAGCAATTTGACCTTCACCATCAGGGTGGCTGACGGTAAAGTCTGAATATCTGCCCTTGATCACAATTTGGAAAAAAAACACACATGTGAGAAAGATCAAATGATGATAAGATGGGATTGACCTGTAATTCTCTGGGATCACGCTAAAGCAGGCTGACACCCCTTACTTATTTCCGACACCAGGAATCCTTATTGTTAGTGTCAATTATGCCAACTGTATAATAATTGAATCTCCTGAAGTGCTTTATTATAAACATTTATGTTATCGTGTGGGATGTTATAAAATCTTACTGAAAGAATATTGGGAATTCAAAAATTTTCTCTGGGCCCATGATATTTTGTTTATTCTGTCTTATATAATATTCAAGCTTAAAAATGTGTGACAAATCATTCTTTGGAGCATCATGAATCTGGTTTGCAACCCAGATGTCCTGCAAGCTTGCCAAGGCTGTGTGTGGCTTAAGCAGAACAAAAAGAGAATCATAATTTTATGATGTTTATTGTGAATATTTGTCATATAAGCAATGCAAATGCTCAATATTAATTCTTTGCAGTCTGCCCGGAGACAAATGTACAATCAGTGACTAGCAGAAGACTCAGAAATACTATGCTAGTTCATGGATGTGTAAAAGTAGAACACTGTGTTGGAATTATGGCATGCCAATGATGATGACACAAGTGAAGGACTGATGCATAAAGGGTTAATAGTTACTACATTGTATTTTGTGCATTTATGTACTTTTCATGTTCCATTTAGATGAAATATTTGCTGCTTAAAGCTGGGCCTCTGAAAAGGGACGGTGATAAATTAGGGTTTGATTTTAGTTTCTGGGCTCTTTTCCAGGGGAGCGTACAAAGACTGCCAGAAAATTTACAAACCAAACTCTTAACACAATCACTAAGGATTGACCTGCAACCTAATCCCTAGGGTAATTTAAACTTGGTTCACAACTGATAAAGAGCCGTGATTTAAAGCATTATGGCATATCATGAAAAATTCAGCCACAATTACTTTCAACAAACTATTAAATTACAATTGTTGGGGTGAACTTTATCTTCCAGTAATTGTAGCATCCCTTCACCATCCATTCGTATCTCATATATGAAGGTATCAAAGTAACATTGTTTTCTTCTCTTACATAAGCCATTCTTAACATATTCCAAATGTTCAGCTCCTGTTGGAGATATTGATGGATTTCCAAAGTTCTTTTGAAGTTGAGCTGGCAAGATATCAAAACTAGCATGTTGATTAGCAGTGTGCAAATGATCCTCCAGCTGCCATGTCTCCCTTTTCCAGGGTCAAGGTTAGGACCTAAGATGAGATTAATTCAGAGGTTCCTCTCTTTAAATAAGAGCCCATCTGCTGGTCACCTGGTCAGTAAAGAATGCGAACTGCACAGCAACATGGAGCAAGCAGAATGAATCGCCTGGTGACCGAGCTGGTTACTGATGTCCGTCTACAACATACTCCAAACTCCCAAACAAGTGTAGCCTTGATGGGCAGGGGTAGGGGCAGAAGATGCAGGAAAATACCAAGTTCCCCTGCAAATCACTCAACACTTTGACTTGGAATTGTGTCATTGCTTCAATACTTCAATTAGATCAAAAACGTGGAACTGCCTAACAGCACAGTGGGTGTACCAACTCCACATGTAATGCAAAAGTTCAAGAACGTGGCTCAAAGGCAATGAGGGGAAGGTGGTCGTATGTCAGTAGAGTAGTAATCCAGTATCCTGGTTTAATGTTATAGGGGCATGGGTCTGAATTGCAGATAGTGTAATTTGAATTAAATAAACAATTGGAATAAGGAGCTAGCCTAATAGTGACTGTGTGGACACTATCACTTGTTATAAAACCCATCTGGTTCACTAATGCCTTTTAGGGAGAGAAGTCTGTTGTCCTTATCTGCTCTGGCCTATATGTAACTCCAGACCCAAAGCAATGTGGATGATTCTTAACTGTCCTCCGGGCAATTAGAGAAGTAATAAATCTGTCCTAGCCAGTCAATGCTAATAATTAATTTTAAAGAATCTGAAAGCAAATGCTTTGATACCCTATGACAAGTCCTTCTGACCTTCATTACTTAACTACCATTATTAAAAGTTTAACTGACTGTTCATCTAATTTTCTGTTTGTGGGATCTTGCTGTGCATGAATTGACTGCAGAAGGTCTTGCGGTGCACTTGGTAGTGTCCCTGCTTCTGAACCAGAGGCTTCATTCCAGAACTTGATGGTCACAAAGAGTGTGACAGCAACATGGTCAAACAGATTAGGTAACAATCTGCAAAATCTGTCCAACAAGCTTGTGGTCTCTGGAAAGGATGGGACATCTCCTGGTCAGCAAAAAGCATGTGATAACTTCATGTGATAACTCACATCCCCATGTAAAAAGTCAGGTTGCACCATATGGGAAGACAACTTCTTGTTTTAAAGGATTGCTGCAGTTTTCTGTATAGCAACAGTTGCTGCGCTAACAACAGTAATTCATAGGTGGCATAAATGCTTGGAAACCCCTTGAGGATGTGAAATGTGAGGAAATTCTACATTCCCAATTCACAGAAAAGGAATGTCTGTATCCAGTTTGGAGGAAGGGGAGGGCTGGGTTAAAGCAAAACTCTGCAATTTGTAGATATTCCTTCTTAAAATGATGATAGTAAAATGAAGGGTATGCAGGTTAGTTTGATCTTAGAGTAGGATAATGGGTCAGCACAACATCGTGGGCTGAAGGGCCTGTACTGTGTTGTACTGTTCTATGTTCTAGGTTCTTAAAAGCTGGACTGTATATTAGATGGTCAACAAGATAATATTTTGAAAATACTTCACCTCTGTACAGAAAGGAAGCTCTTTCTAATTTTAAAAATAATATACAGCTTCCTTTATAAATAACATAACAATTATTGAAATGATTCATTATGTTTGTTTTTCTTTCATTGTTATAAACAGTGCACAATGTTATTATATATTTCTTACAGAAATATTACATATTTCTTTAAAGTCCTATAAATTCATTCAATAAAATTTCCAGTTTATAAACTGTTAGTTTAAATCATTGATTTAGCTTAACGTTGACAAAGGTAGTGCAAATAACATTCATCACAGCGTTTAATCTTATTATTAATTGCAGTAAGCTTTTTAAGTTAACCTTGAGTTCGTTGTATATTCTGGATATCAGGAGAGATTTTGCTTGTGTGTGATAGAATCAGTCACAATCAAGAAAGTGTTTTTGATATAATGCACAAGTCTGGCAATGAACAAAATGCTTTGGACCTGAACTGTGTGTGACAGTTTATATTAGATATAAGGGGAAGGTTTCACTCTACATTAGAGACAAAAAAAAACTGCAAATGCTGGAATCCAAGGTAGACAAACAGGAGGCTGGAGGAACACAGCAAGCCAGGCAGCATCTGGAGGAAAGGAGCAGTCAACGTTTCAGGTATTACCCTTCTTCAGGACTGGATGTGGGGGTAGGGGGAGCTGCAGAATAAGGGTGGGGAGGAGGGAGGTAGCAAAATGGTGGTGGTAGGTGGACACTGGTAGGAGGTACAACCTGGTTGGTTGATGGAAGGGGAGGGTCAGTAGATAGAATGGAAGGGAGGAGGTGGGGCTGGAAAAGGAACCAGAGGATGGGTGGGAAGGTTATTTGAAAGGAGAGAACTCAATGTTGAGTCCTCCGGGCTGTAGGGTGCCCTGGCGGAAGATAAGGTGTTGTTCCTGAACTTCGTGTTCTGAGTCACTGCGACACAGGAGGAGGCTGAGGACAAGGACGGACATGTCAGAGGGCGTCAAGACCCCACCACCCCGAATATTTTCCACTCCCTAACTCTCTCTGCCTTCTGCAAGGACCATTCCCATCGCCACTCCTTAGTTCCTGCCACACCCCACCAACCACTCCAACGCCTCCCCCCACCCTGGTACCTTCCCCTGTAACAGTAAAAGATGCAACACCTGCCCACACACCACCTCCCCCACCTCCATTCAGGGCCCTGAACAGCCCTTCCAGGTGAGACAGATCTTCACCTGCAGGTGAACCTAGTCTATTGTATCCGGTGCTCCCAATGTGGCCTTCTCTCCGTCGGTGAAACCATATGTAGACTTAGTGTCCGTTTCACTGAGCATCTTTGCCTGGCCCGTAACTAATCTTCTGGTCACCACCCATTTCAACTCCCCCCCACCCCCCTTCACCGAATCCCACTCCAACATCTCCATCCTCGGCCTCCTCCAGTGTCGCAGCGAAGTGGAACGCAAATTTGAGGAACAACACATTATCTTCTGCCTGGCCACCCTACAACCTCCAGGAGTTAACATTGAGTTCTCTAATTTCAAAATAACCATGCCACCCATCCCCCGCTTCCCCTTCCAGCCCAACATCCTCCATTCCATTCCACCTTTTGACCCTCCCTTCCAGCTAGCAACCGGATTCATCCTTCTCATCGACCAACCAGGGCGTACCTATTATCGGCGTCCACCTATCACCGCCATTCCGCTACTGACCTCCCCCAACCCTTTATCTGCAGCTCTCTCTACCCCCACATCCAGTCCTGAAGAAGCGTAATACCCAAAACATTGACTGCTTCTTTCCTCCCGATGCTTCCAGGCTTGCTGTGTTCTTCCAGCCTCCTGTTTTTCACTCTATATTAGTTGTACCAGAATTGTAAATGTGGTGTTTTAGAATAGTATTTGTGTCCATTCTTTCACTATCATTGTCTTCTTCTCTCTCACTCTTGTTTCCTGACTCCCCAGAAAAGCCATCGTCAATAATTAACAGATGCAAGTGCAGAGGTGGCACAACTCGACTGAGCCCAAACAGCATTCAAAAACTGATGATCCTGCCAATTCCAAACTGCCCCCTGCAAATTATGTGAGTTCTACTGATCTAACATTTTACATTTACATCCTTCTTGATTGCAGTTATCTTTAAGTAAAATTTGTTCTCAATGTTCAACTTTGCCTTGATTCTTTCTGCTCCTTGTTGGTTTGATGGTGTCCCTTGATAGTGAGCTGACTGGAGGTAACATCTCCTGCTCTTATCAGATATCTGGGTTTCAGGAGATGACAGCGTATTGGTGACAGCACTGGACTAGCTCTAGGGACATCCCAGAAGTTAGTGGCATTTGAACTCAGTGAAATAAATCTGGTCATAAAGTCATAGAGTCATAGAGACATACAGCACAGAAACAGACCCTTTCGTCCAATTTGTCTATGTCGAACCAGATATCCTGAATTAATCTAGTGCCATTTGCCAGCATTTTGTCCTTATCCCTCTAAACCCTTCCTATTCATATACCCATTCAGATGCCTTTTAAATGTTTTAATTTTACCAGCCTCCACAACCTCCTCTGGCAACTCATTCCATTCACGCACCACCTTCCACGTGAAAAAGTTGCCCCTCAGGTCCTTTTTAAATCTTTCTCCTCTCACCTTAAACCTATGTTCTCTAGTTTTGGTCTCCCGTACCCTGAGGAAAAGACCTTGGCTATTCACCCTATCCATGTCCCTCATGATTTTATAAACCTCTATAAGATCACCCCTCAGTCTCCGAAGCTCCAGGGAAAATAGCCCCAGCCTATTCGGCCTCTCCCTGTAGCTCAAACCCTCCAACCCAGCAACATCTTTGTAAATCTTTTCTGAACCCTTTCAAGTTTAACATTGAGGGCTCTTTGTGCTGAAGTGGTAGTATTTATACCTCTGGGTCAAGAGGCCTGACTTCAAGTCCCAGAGATATGTTGTGACAAATCTGAACAGGTTGATTGAAAATGTCTAAATCTGGAACTGAAATTCAATCTCTGTAATGTGACCATGAAATTATCGTCAATTGTAATAAAACCCCATCTGATTCACTAATGTCTTTTAGGGAAGGGAGGGAAATATGCCATTCAAACCTGATCTGGCCTAAATGTGACTCCAAGCCCACAGTAATGTAGTTGATTGATCTTAATTGCCCTCTGGAATGGCCTAGCAAGCTCTGCTTAAATTAGTTAATTTATGGGCAACAAATACTGGCCTGATCAGAGCTCCTCACATACCATTAAATAATCAAAGGTCCATATTTCAAAGGTCGTGTTTGCTGGCTAATGGCCAACTTTAAGACGCCTGGTTGTCTTACTCAGGAATAGTGAGGGCAGGTTTCCACTGCCATGTTCAAAAGAGATTTGGTTAAGTGCATGAATAGGAAAGGTTTAGATGGATATGGGACAAATGCAGGCAAGTGAGACAAGTTTAGTTTGGGAATATGGTTGGCATGGACTAATGGACCTGTTTGTTCCGTGCCGTATGACTCTATGACTCTACGTGACTTGAGTTGGGTCATGAGGAAGATCTGAATTGTTTGGAGATATTGAGGTGAATGTATCACTGGTTTGTTCTGAACTAGTCTTTCTCACTTCAAGCCACTGTGGGCTCAATGTCCCCAGGCTAAAGAAAGAAGAGCAGTTAGCCAGGGCTCCCACCTCTGAGGCTTAGCCAGAACCTACTGCTTCTGAGAATGTACATATGCTGATGTCAGGTAGTTATGATGTCCCTCTCATGAACTTAGCTTATTGACAATTACTGACCTTGCAGGTAAATTATAGTCTGAAAGACCTATTGGAGCAAATCTACCATAAACTAACAGGGTAGGGAAGAGACTGGGGGTGGTGGAGGGTAGGAAGTGGGGAGGGGAGACAGATTAATTTGGCAGTGATGTACTCATTCATCAAAGAAATGTTCAGAGATCAGTAGGAGATAGCAAGAACTGCAGATGCTGGAGTCAGAGACAACACAGTGTGGAGCTGGAGGAACACAGCGGCCAGGCAGCATTGGAGGAGCAGGAAAGTTGATGTTTCGGGACGGGACCCTTCTTCAGAACTAGGGAGGGGAAAGGGAGCTGGGAAATAAATAGAGGAGTGGGAAGGTTGGGGCAGAAAGGTGGGAGAGAAGATGAACAGGTTGTGTCAGATCAAGGAGGCGAGAGGGAGGATGGGGTTATGATAGGTGGATGCAGGTAAGAGGTAGTAGGGATTGGTTGATGGGGAGGGTGGGGCAGATATGTGTGGAAGAAGATGGATAGTTTGTGTCAGGTCAAGGAGGCGGGTACAAGAGGGAGGGTTGGACATGTGACACGGACAGGGGTGGGCCGATTTTAAAACTGGTGAATTCTATGTTCAGGCCATCGGGCTGGAGGCTCCCGAGGCGGAGTATAAGGTGTTACCCCTCCAGTTTGCATGTGGCATCATTGTGGCACTGGAGAAGGCCCAGGATGGACTTGTCACCCAGGGAGTGGGAGGGGGATTTAAAATTGTTGGGCGACCGGAAGGTGTTGTTGATTATTGCATACAGAACGCAGATGCTCCACGAAACGGTCTCCAAGTCTATGCTTGGTCTCACCGATGTAGAGGAGGCTACGTCAGGAGCAACAGATACAGTAGACCAGGTTGGAGGATGTACAGGTGAATCCCTGTCAGATACGGAAAGTTTGCTTTGGGCCTTATATGGAGTTGAGGGTGAGATGTAGGGGCAGGTGTAGCACCTCCTGTGGTTGCAGGGAAAGGTACCGGGTGTGGTGGGTTGGTGGGGAGTGTGGAACAGACGATGGAGTTGCGGAGAGAGCAGCCCCTATGAAAGGTAGATAGGGGTGGGGAGGGAAATATCTCATTGGTTGTGGCGTCGGATTGTAGGTGGTAGAAGTGGCAGAGAATGATGCGCTGGGTGCTAAGGTTGGTGAGGTGATATTTGAGGATAAGGGGGGCTCTGTTTATTTTTGTTGGGGGCGGGAGTTTGAGGGCAGAAATGCGGGAAATGCAAGAGATGCGGTTGAGGGCACTTTTGATCACCGGAGGGGGGAAGTTATGGTCCTTGAAATAGGAGGACATCTGGGATGAGTGGGAGTGGAACGCTCCATCTTGGGAGCAGATGCGGTGGAGGTGGAGGAATTGGGAATAGAGGATCGCATCCTTGCAGGAGGGTGAATGAGAGAAGATATAGTCTTGGTTGCTGTGGGAGTTGATGGGCTTGAAATAGATGTCAGTGCTGAGACGGTTACCAGAGATGGAGACGGAGAGGTCCAGGAAGGGGAGGGAGGTATTGGAGATGGTCCAGGTGAATTTGAGGTTGGGGTGGAAGGTGTTAGTAAAGTTGATGAACTGTTCAAGCTCTTCATGGGAGCAGAGGCAGCACTGATACAGTCATCAATGTAATGAAGGAAGAGGTGAGGGGTGGTGCCAGTGTAACAGCAGAAGAGAGACTGTTCCACGTATCCTACAAAGAGGCAGGCATAGCTTGGACCCATACAGGTACCCATGGTCACCCCCTCAGATTGTACAGTGGGAGGAGTTAAAGGAGGTGTTCAGGGTAAGGACGAGTTTGGTTAAGCGGATGATTGTGTTGGTGGAGGGGGGCTGGTTGGGCCTGTGGGAGATGAAGAAGCAGAGGGCTTTTGGGCCATCTGCACGGGGGATGCAAGTGTACAAGGTTTGGATGTCCATAGTGAAGATGAGGTTTTGGAGTCTCCTTGACCTGACACAACCTGTCCATCTTCTCTCCCACCTATCCACCCCACCCTTCCAACTGACCAATCCCCACCACCCCCTACCTGAATCCACCTATCACCATGCCACCTACCTTCTCCAGCCCCACCCCTCCTCTCTCTATTTATTTCCGAGCTCCCTTCCCCCTCCCTGGTTCTGAAGAAGGGTCCCAACCTGAAACGTTAACTTTCCTGCTACTCTGATGCTGCCTGACCTGCTGTATTCCTCCAGCTCCATGCTGTGTTGTTTCAGAGATCAGTAACTTTTGTTATGTACTCTGCCCTTTTTTTTTGCTGCCCTTTGTTGAAATGTTTTAAAAGTGTTAATTCTGCCTGAATCCACAAAGCTCTCGAGGAATATGCGCTGTTTTGGCTCTGGCAGCAATCTAAACTTTCCCTTTTCAGCTGAGCTAATACTTTGCTCTTTATTCAGTGGAACAGTGATACTGCTGGGTGCTGGCCATATGAGGCACATGGGTATGAAGCAAAGAACTACAAATGGGCTGGAAACCTGTCAGCACCATGATAGTTCATATACAAAACAAGAGAGAGTGTCGATCATTAAAGAAAACTTTTAACACTGGGAAGCTTTTAGTATGAGTGGTTAGTAACTTTGTGACAAAATCTCCTTCAGTCTAGGTTTCCATTCCTGTGACTGACAGGTTATTAGAGTTAATGCCACTGCTGCCATGAAGTACAATGAGAGAGAAACCCACAAATCTAAAGCTTTGCTTCCTGGATCCTAACAACTACTTACCTCAGTGTCCACTGACCTACATTACCCTCTCGTAAGGAAAATGTTTGATTTCATAGAGTCATAGAGCCATACAGCATGGAAACTGACCCTTTGGTCCAACCTGTCCATGCTGACCATGTTCCCAAACTAAACTAGTCCCATCTGCCTGCGCTTGGACCATATCCCTCCAAATTTCTCTTATTCATGTACTTATCCAAATGTATTTTAAATATTGTAACTGAACCCACATCCACCACTTCCTCTGGCAGTTCATTAGACACACGAACCACTCTCTGTGTAAAAACACGTCCTTTTTAATTCTTTCTCCTCTCACTTTAAAAGTATGCCCCCTAGTTTTGAACTCCCCTACCCTAGGGAAAAGGCCCTTCCTATTCACCTCATCTACGCCCCTCATGATTTTATAAATCTCTATGTGGTCACCCCTTAACCTCCTACACTCCAGTGAAAAAGTCCCAGCCTTTCCAGTCTATTTTTCTAACTCAAACCCTCTTTTCCCAACAACGTCCTGGTAAATCTTTTCTGAACCCTCTCCAGCTTAATAATATCCTTCCTATAACAGGACGACCAGAACTGGGCACAGTACTCCAGAAGAGGCCTCATC